AGTCCGGGGTTACAAATGTACTGGAAGGGGAGGGAGGGGGAGGGGGGAGGGGGGAGTGATCAATTCGAGGGACTGAGTAAATAGAAGTAGAAGCAAATCAACACATAAAGGTCAGATAGTAAGGTCAGATAGTAAGGTCATATACTAAGGTCAGAGAGTAAGGTCAGATAGTAAGGTCATATACTAAGGTCAGATAGTAAGGTCATATACTAAGGTCAGATTGTAAGGTCAGATAGTAAGGTCAGATAGTGCCGGGAAGAAGCAAGACAGACAGACAATTTGGTTTTAGTAGAGGTATTACGGCGCTCGCAACTGCATAAGGTCATATGAGCGCCAGAAGATTAGAGGTGTTACAAGAGAGTAACAAACATAAAAAAGAAGAAGGGGAGATAAGGACGATAGATGTTTGATAGGAAAGAAGAAGTAAACCACACCAGAGCACCCGCCGACCACCCACACAGAGAGACAGAAACAGCAGAGGGAAAAGGAAAAGAAAAGATGCGGGACCTACCAGTGGCACCCTCCAACCACCTGCAAAGAGAAGCATATCGACACAATAACGGTCATAATATACCGTGTAGTGCAGGGAAGAAGCAAGACACAGAAGACTTGAGTTCAAATCTTGCCATGTCGAGAGTTGTTTTTTCTTAATCGAGTATCTCCGTCTGTCTGTTGGGGCGTTGTATCCCTCTCAGTCTGGGTTGGCGTTGGGCCTGACATGCAGGGTTGAAACAGCTTGCCCCCTGGTGATCTAAATTGGGTCGATGGAGGCATAAAACTTCTGCAGTAACAAATAGTTTACCCCAAGCAGTACAGCAAATGTTTAGTTTTAGTAAGTGTTTTACGGCACTTGCAACACAATAAGGCAATATAAGTGCCGAAGATTAGAGGTGTTACAAGAGAGTAACAAACACAAAAAAGGAGGAGAGATAAGGACGATAGATGTTTAATAGGAAAGAAGAAGCAAACCACACCAGAGTACCCGCCAACCACCCACGTACAGCAAATGTGAACAACCAAACAAGAAAACATAAGCTGACCATGGCAGTAGCAAATATAAATTTATTTCATTGGCATCATTCATAAATTGCTGATTCAAAACAACATGTCATTAGAGTCCACACACTTTCTTACATTAGCAAAACATTGCACATGGCCTAGAAGCACAAACACACTCAGGTATAGTTTTCGTAAGCGTTTTACGGCACTGGCAACACAATTAGGTCATATAAGTGCCGAAGATTAGAGGTGTCACAAGAGAGCAACAAACACAAAAAAGAAGGAGGAGAAATCAGGACGATAGATGTTTGATAGGAAAGAAGGAACAAACCACACAAGAGCACCCGCCAACCAACCACAAACACAATCAACTTTCAAAGGCAGGTTAAAAACCAGGCATACAGTGCAAGTGAAGCAAACTCAGAATTATTGCTAAAACCATTCTCCAACTAAAAACACTGCCACGACAACATTCTTTAGATATATACTGTAGAGTCTGCTTAAGCTAAATGTAGTAATTTTTTTTAAACAGTGGCAATTCGAAAGAACAAAGAATCACTGATTTATTAATTTTTTTGTTTTAGAAGAGGTTTTACGGTGCTCGCAACTGCATGAAAAGGTCATATGAGCGTCAAGGGGTGGGAGTCAACAGAGAAGTCCTTACAGGGAATCAGACTTACTCTGCTCACCTCTCTAGCTTCAACAGCACAAAGTCTGCTTCGACTATCAAGGCACCCCGGAAGAAATAGCGGGTCACAAGAGTGACAAACATACGAAAGAAGTAGAGGTAAAATGACGCTAGTAAGGATTAGGAAAGAAAAAACAGCAGTTCCCTGTTGCGGTTCAGGCACAGTTATGAGCATGACATCCATGAATCAGCCCATTTACAATTCTACTGTGCATAATAAAAACAGGTTAATGTCCCCCTTTGGGAATGGCCTAAAGACACTTCAGTCAGTAGTACCGCCCCGAAGGGTATTTGGCAATCTATTCAAACAATTTCCCTGAACCGAAAATGCGACTAAATGGAAGAATATCTGGCAGTCTCACAGGTTTTGGTATAAGCTGACTCCACTGGATCTAGACCTCTAGTACGAGTACTTTCACCCTTCATGTGAACAAACCCCCCCCCCCCCCCCCCACCCCCCGCCCCAAAAAAAAGAGAAATAAATGATAGGGATACTTCAACACCCTCAAAGTTTCAAGCTATTTATGGACAACATGTAAATGTACACTCACTCAGTAGCATCAACCAAAGCTGTGTCCTCGACAGCAAAGATATGTTTAGTTTTAGTAGAGTTTTTACAGCGCTCGCAACTGCATAAGGTCATATGAGCGTCAAGGGGTGGATGTCAACAGAGAAGTCCTTACTGGGAATCAGGCTTACTCTGCTCACGTCTCTACCTTTTGGAGTCCTCGACAGCAAAGATATGGCAGTGACACACAAACAACGGGCACGAATTAGATCAACTCGTACAAAAATATTCAGATAACTTATGAATAAATTAAATACGAAACACCCGGACAGTGTGCAAGATATGCTTGATGAGTCATTTGTCAAGGAAGTAGCTTTGTGAACTCGCAGGACAACAAGTCGAACCGAGCAGTAATATTTCTGGCATCATGACCTTGAGAAGGACAAACACACTAGTGTCTGTGGTGTAGTGGTTAGGCACTTCGTCATCCCACGCAGAAAACCCGAGTTTGATTACAGAGTGGGAAACATTTTTGTCGAGTATCTCGGATCTTTCTGAAGGGATGTTGTATCCCTCTCAGTATGGGTGGGCCCTGATAGGCAGGGTCAGAAGCCCGCTTCCTAAATGATTTATATATATATATATATATATATATACACACACACATATATATTTATAAATATATATATACACACATATATTATATATATATATAATAAAGGGACAAATTTGACCTGAAGACTGACAACCAATACACGACACACGCACTTCCACCAGCAAGAGAGTCTGTGCAAGCAAAACATGCTTATATATATATTGAAGAATACAAGCCACCAAAAACTGTTCCTTAAGGCACAACAGAACATGTACAAATCAGAGCGCAGTCGGACCTGTTCTTATAGGCCACCTGTCCAAGACAATCACCTGTATAAACAACCACTTCCCACTTACTCCCTTGGGTTTTTTTTTTCTTATAATAATTATTATAATGACATTAACCAAGACATCAACGACCTGTCTAAGGCAACTACTTTTCTCCTCAACAATGTAAGGCCATCTTTGACAAATTTGACTATAATTAGCTTAACATGACTGGTTTGAATGAGTTAGGAGAAGCATTGATATGATAATGGCCATTAAGTACAACCAGGAAGAGAGGGGGCAAAAGACAGACAAAAAGAAAGAAACAATGGAGAGAAGAACAAAAAAAAGGAGGAATAACTTGTACCAATGGTACCCTGCAACCACGCACAATTAGACAGACAAAATGAGATTCAAGTGAGAAAGATGGAAAGTCAGAAAGATTGTCACCAAGTAAGGTATCACAGTACAAACAATTTCTACTTTATGTTTCTTTGTAATCTATACTCTGGTGCCCACACTATAACTTGTAAATAAAAGACACCCTTATCAGCTGAAAGGGTGGACCTCACATGAAGTAATAATTAATAGGGCATATAATGATCTTAAAAAATAATTGCCAAATGGAAAAGGAGGAAAGGGGTGTGGGGTTTCAATTTTGGAAAAAAATGAGAACATAGTATACCAGCTTGCCCTAAATCAGCCAATTTCAAGTACAGTCAAATCACTTTTATTGATGAGGTCCAGAAGTGCAGTGTATGCCATTCAGTCAAAAGGTTGCAGGATTGAAACCTGCCAGCCACAAACAAATCTTCTCCTTTTTCTTCCTTTCCTGTTGCCTCGTCCTGTTCTGTCATCTGCTTCCATCATCATCTTCTCACCCTAACCCCCCAGGCCCCCTTTCTTCCCCTTTCCCTTATTCCTGACTCCTTCTACTGCTACTCTTGGCTCTTTCTTACTGCTGTCTTTCAGCCACTCCCCTGATCTTATGGTAGGTAAGATCAAACACCTAGCCTTCTCGGATGAGAGAGAAAAGGCTTGGAGGTCCCCTGGGCAAGTTGCCCACGTTAAAGATCCCTTGGCGGTCCTAAAATCAATAAAAGCATGCTCCCACTGCCACTTCGGTAAAATTCAAAATTAATTCCTACCAAAACTAAAAATACTCTAGTCCATATATAGAACAAAAAATAAAGAGTATCTTCGAAACTGGAATGTGGCTGCCTGAAAGCAAGGACCCTAAAAATTAGAAAAAACAGTCACATACGCAAAAACTAGTTGCCCTGAGACCTAGCGAGCAAACACAAAAAAGATCTAGCAGGCAAACACAAAGAAGAACTTACTGGAGCGCACAAAAAGTAAAGTCAACACAGAAAGAAAGTGGCCATAGAGGCAAGACAAACTTCAACTCACTTTGCCAGCAGTTTAGAGCCCTCTAAAGTAAAGTTATCAAATAGTCCAAGATTTGGACATCCTTTATATATTATATAATATTCTGCTTAGCTTTGGGCATCCCTTTACAAAAAGGTGGACCAAAGATTACACAGAACTGGAATACTTGTACAAATATTTGAGCAACAGAAAAAATAGTTTTGACAAATCAGTCAAGAGACCATTTCCTACTTTCTAGCACACACACACAAACCCTGTCCTACAAACGAAATGAAATGTCCATTCACCGCCCATCCCACACAGCCGGCCATATAAAGCTCAAATGATTCGCGACCATCAACCTCTAAGTGTTGAAGCAATAATATCTATTTGAAGCTGAATGTACCTCAGCAATCAGATTGATGCCCCCCCCCCCTCCACCCTTTCCTTTCTCCCCCCTTCACCTTGACAGCAGCAATAAAAAAGCAGCAAAGAAGCACCAGCTTGCCCTTGAAAGGTGACCACACTCTATTTCCGTTGAACTCAAATTATGTTACAACAAAGGAGTTCACTTCCACCAAATATGATTAATCCGAAAACAGTCAGTAAACTGACAGTTCATAAAATCCCCCATTTTTTCCCCCTTATGTTTGAGCAACTTCTCTTAACCAAAAACCCAGCTAAACCAAAAAAAAACAAACCCAAAACTGGAGGTCACGCTGATTTCAGTTGAGAAAAGCTGACTCCAATGTTTACATGAAAAGGCAAGGCAGGTCTAAGATAGTTATGATTTTTGTTTTTTATCAGGTCCGCCAATGTACCGTAATCGTTTACAGCAAACAACACAGGGAACACCTGGCAACCATCCACAGAAAACACGCCACTAAAATCCTGACAAGGAAAAAGATTGCACAACACTCAAAAGTGACAATTTAAAAAAAAAATTGGGGGGGGGGGCAAAACTGAGAACTTATCTACTACTGAAGTTTTCTACACTATCCCCATCTCTTCTAAAAAATAAAGCTAGTGTCCAAAGACAGCCAACATAAAACAATTCACAAGGATGCGAACAGATCCAAACCCTCCAACACATATTATTTTAAGTGTATTCTTCAATAAATTCCTGCTCAATTTAATTACCTGTGGTAAAGGCCACAACTACTTCTTTCTCATTACTATTAGCAAATATGGTCTTCAAAGTTTATACTTTTTTCTCTAGCAACAGCAAGTCCCTGAAGAGCAATATATTTATATATAAAAGAAAACATACTTTACTTTACTTTTCCGATCTAGATAATATATATATATATATATATATATATATATATATATATATATATATATGGGTTCTAGCCCTTCGGCCTGGATAATACAAAACAGAAAACTTATTTTCTGACAAAAGAATGGGCTTCAGCTCCGTTCTCACACCCTCAAAAACGTATTACATACATTTTTTTTGACATGCTGTTTGGCAGCTATGCTTCACAGCTCCTCCACAGCTTCAGTGCACACATTCTCCTACAGGTGGCCTTTGTTACTGGCCAGCAGCATTTCAGCTATTAAACAACAATAGCTCATGATACAGACAATCACAGTGCTGTAAAACATTAAAATATGGCAACAAAATACACATATTAAATATATATATATATATAATAATGATAAAACAGGCACGAACCCTGACTCTAAATCGGAAACAATTGACGTAACAATACAGTGCTACACGGGAACAGTGTTCATGCAATACTGGAACAACAATTCCCCCCCCCCCCACCTTAAATAATTGATTGTCCAATCCTATATCCAATCAAGAACAGCAACAATGAGATCTAGGTCAAGCTAAAACAACAAAAGGTCCGCACGCCAGGTTTGGCACAGGACAGAAAGGTCATCTAGTCCGAGTGTAGGTCCCTGGCAACTACAGAACTTTCCAGGGAGACAGAAAACCACCAGAACATGTAACCCTCCAAGTGCTGCTAACAATAGCCTGTGGTGTCACCATTCATTATTATACTACTCGCAAAATACTTGAGAACAGACGAACCAAGCAAGTAAAGGCCATGAACCTATAATATATATTTTCAGGAAGTAGAATGTAAAAATAGTAAATAAAGCTCATTTGTGAAGAAGTTGAAATATTTGGAAATATAATTTAATATAAACTACAAACCGAAATAGTGACCCAAATCACAGCCATTTAAATCAAGCCGCGACACCACAGAACGAAACTTACTGCCCATTTCATCCGCCGTCGAAACTAGGAGGGTACACATGCACAGTAGTTTGTGAATGGAGTATCGAAAGGTCAAAGTGAGAATGAAAGTCGCAATGGATCGGTCTGACGAGTCTCTGACCGCTCGTCCACTTTCCCACTCTGATCAGACATTGGCCTCCTCCAGCAGCATCACATTGTGGTTCGGGTTCATCTTGATGGGTTCGTCGGGGTCGAAGTCGCGGCTCCACCGGTCCCTGTACGTATGCTCAATGATCAGACTCATGCCCACCTGAGACCGGTTGTCGAAACCCGAGGATGTGGACAGGTCCGACGAGATGAGTTTCCACCCTAAATTATGCAGCTCCTCGCCCACTCTCAGGCGCATCGGACTTCCGAACAGCTCCAGCTCCGTGTACTCCTCCGGCTCTTTGCAGCAGAGTCTCTCGATAAAATCAGAGCCAATCACAGCCGGGGGTAACGTCAATAAAATATCTTTGCGACCCAGTAAGATCGTCTTCACCCGTGAATTGCTAGTTGGCATCGTGGCCGTTGAGCCCGTGCGTACTTCCGTTATCTCCAAATAAAACGTCCGGCCTTTCACAGAACAGTTGTCTCTCAAATCATTGATTGCATCGATTAATGGAGAGATCTGATAAAAGTCTGCTTCAGCACTCAAAAGATCAAAATCTTTGAAATTAGAAGGCAGACACAGCTGTGAAGAGCGTAGGAAGTTGAGAACATGCCGGAATATCAAACCGTCGCGGTCGATGAATAAGTGCCCATTGGCGTCGAGGGTGCTGGGCAGGCCGTTGCTCATCATCGAGCCCAGCATGGACTCTGGGAACTTGAGCAGCGTGGAGGTGGTGGTGGTGTAGACAACGCCCCCCACGTTCAGGGTCACCACGGTCCCCGACATCAGTGCGGGCTGCTTCACTTCACCTCACTCAATGCAACCAACACACAGGTTTACTCACTGAAAATATAAAAAGGAAAAAAAAAATTATTATAAACAGAAAATGACTCTTCTTACATTTTCTATAATGTCATTTGGTTTGCTAATTGAAATTGAATTGACATAACAAAATCCAAACAAAGACAAAACAGATGGACATGTCCTGTAAATGAGAGGGCATATATTTAAGCAAAACCATGCGATGGAGCGGAAAATTACCCTTCTGATGGATCAATGTCAAACCAATGTTTAATACCGGTCATTCCCCGGGATGATATGTTTAACGATTTGGGTTTTCTAGACCTTGGAAAGTCTGATGATGTAATTATGACACGAGTTATGAACGAACTTATAAATTTTACTCAGCAATAACATCATTAATATAAAAAAATAATACCCTTTTAATGGACACACGCTGTTATGATGGTGTATACAAACTATTTTCAATGTTTGAATGCACTTCTGTTTGATAGTTTAAGATTAACAATATTCTGTATTTAACATACAATTACGTGTGCACTCAGGATGAGTAAAAAATGCCCTATTTTTAGTACTATTATCTTTCTATGTATGTAGAGATATAAGATGCACACATCAATCTACTTGCTCATGCAGCTTGACCAACTTATTTCCTTGCCATATACATAAAGTTTTCAGAAGAAAACATATTTTACCATGAGTAGTGGTTGATTTAAAAAGTCCTTAAGCAAACACCCCCACCTTTTGGCAAAAGCTCATATATATGACTTTGATTGAGATATAACATTATAAGTACAGTACTGGTCATGGTACAGTCGAACTTGCCCAAACAACCACCCGTCCAAGACAATGACCCCTACAGACAAACCACTTCCCCATTGCAGTGTATATGACGGGGTCAGATGCAAAACCCGCCAAGCGACATTTTGGGAAAAAATTGAGATTTAAAAATATATTTTAAACGCACATTGTTACCGGCTATCAGATGCATAAAGTGTTTTCGGCCAAAAGCCAAGACATATTTCATAAAAGTCACCAAAAAAATTTTCTTTTTACGCAAGTTTTTATGCGTATAGCAGCAAAGGCCGATTTTCTCAAAAGTGCTAAAATGAATGTAGCAGGTTTTGTATCTCTCTGCTCCTCATATTATATATTCCATGTAATGTTTGTTTGTTTTTGTTTTTTTAAAGTGTTTTACCGCGCTCGCAACTGCATAGGTCATGAGCGCGCGGACACCCCTAATATTTCCAGTTGGTAGGAAATTTTGAATTTTGCCCGGGTGGCGGCCGAAGCCTACTCTTATCGATTTTAGACCACCAAGGGATCTTTAACGTTCGCAACTTGCACACAGGCCCTCCGAAATTTTTCGCCCTTGTCCGAGAAGGCTAGGTGTATATCTTTCCTACCATAAGATCAGGGGTGTGGCAGAAAGACAGCAGTAAGGAGGAGCCAAGGAGTAACAGTAGAATGGCTGCAGAAAGAGTCAGGAGCCCAGAGGAGGGGGCAAAGGAGGTGAGGGGGTGGGGGCAGAAAGTGGAAATGAAAGCAGACAACAGAACATTGCTAGAGAGCAGGAAAGGAGGTGAAAGGAGACAATTTTAGAGAAGAAAATTTTTCGGTCACTACCCGGATTCGAACCCGGGACCTTTGAATGAGAGGCCAACACCTTTTAACCTCTAGGCCACGAGAGCCCTCATCCCATGTATGATAATGACACTGTCCTAGAAGACCACCTGTCTATTAAGATGACCACCTTCTCCTTGATAATCAATAAAATATATAATTATGGTTGGTGGTATTGGACAATTTCGACTGCAATTAAAAACCACTTTTAAAATTAATTAATAGCTTTGAAACCAACACATTCTTCATCATCAGCATTTTTTATGACTCTAACACAGACATTCATTCCTATGGAGGTGTTCATTCCTCTACACAATAATAGACGACAATCAATGGGGTAACAGTGTTATAACTCCTAGCGGGGCTGGACAGAGTCTGGATAGGACAAGGATACCTGTATAGGGCCTTCTAACTGCGTATCATTATTTTATAAAAAGAGAACAAATTTATTGTCATTATTATGAAGAGAACAAATTTATTTGCTCAGCACGGGATGGGCTGGTTTCCTTCGACAGGAATGGATCGCTTTCATTTGTCGGGTTTCAAGGCTTTCTGTATGGGGAGATACCACTGAGACAAGAACAAAATTGTTAGCGAAAAACAGTTTTGAGTGAAGTACTAGATGATCTAGATCTAGATAGATAGATCTAGTACTGGTGAAGCAAAAGGCTGACTATAAAATATTTTCCTATAGACTCTTCGACCTTTCAATCTCTTATGATCCCTACACAGGATCCAACTGGCTTGTTCTCAAGATCAGACAGGCAAAACGATGTACATAATCTTGTGTAATATATCACTGAAAATTGTTTCTTAACGAGTATTAGCAGCAACATTATACATTAGACCTTGTAAGACTTCATGACTGCTCTAAAAAAAAAACTAATCTTAGTAAATCTAACATGATCCAAGTCTAACATGCCAGGAGGAGGATGGACCTCCCCCCCGAGCCAATTACGGATTAAAAGAGCACTGGAACGACAGACAGAAAAATAAACAGAATAGTTTGGTAAAACTGACAGACAGTTCTCTTGTGAGTACGACGAATCTGATACTCGACGATTTAATGCTTCATGGCGTTTAACAGGGTCTGTAGTCAGTAGATCTATATCTAGATTCTAGATCTATGCTAGATATCTAGATCTACTGTATACTGTATTATAGGCCTAGATCTACTACTAGATCTAGATCTCTATTCCAGACTGACCGAATCCTAACGTCAGTTGCCGGGGGGGATGGAAAGGGAGGGGTCCAGTCAACCGTTAGTCAACGTCTTCAAATAATCTGACCAAACTATTAACTCTCCATATGGGAGGTGTAATGCAATGCTTTTCCAATCATTGTCCCAGTATAGTCGCTTTAACAGGTCATATTACAAAAATACTTGCCGTGAACTAGAACACCTGTTGCTATCTGAATGCCATGTTGTTTCTTTGAAATTGTAGCAGAAAAATAAAAGTTTTTTGACTACTTTGAGTAAGGGACGTCACTCTCAAAATATTTGAAATACCTATGTAATTCTTTCGACATTTTCGAATCCTAGTCAAGACAAAAAAACAAAAAACCAACATGACAAACCAGGTCTAGAATCTAGACTATATTTTTTAACATTTCTGATGGGATTGATTCTAAAGTGAATGATTCAACACTTTGTGTGCCTTGAATTGTACTTCAAGATTATCAAAAATAGCCTTCGGTATTTACGAAACCTACTCTATAGTTTTGTTTGCTGTCTCGTAGAGATTGTAAACAATATGGCGAACGAAGCTGCAGCCGACAAACGAATTCACTCAGTGACAAATTGCTTTTCACGATATTTGTGAAGAAAGTATAAAAGAAGCCTGATTAAAAGTGGGATTGGATTTGACTTTATGCTTTGTTACGTGAAAAAGCAAGATCACTTTTGTAAATCAGGCTGTAGCTATTTATTTTAATACTTTCACTTGTGACGTGACTTGGAATTGTACCACGGCGACCGAACATTGCCCGGCCTTGTTTGATTCGAAGCTGGGAGGTATTTCTAATCTAAATAAAACCCCGACTCAACAACAAGAAGTAGTATCCTCTTCTGGACCGCCCCAGTGCAATAACTGGCAAAGATGTCAATACTCAGCGATGACAATTTTTCTATGTCTGCTGATAAGTACCTCGGTGAGAATTTTTTCACCTGCCGTGTTTTATAAATTTTATTTGTTTCACCTTTTTAAAAACTTTACATTGTCGTTGTGCATACAGTGAGCGTTCCTTAAGCCTTAGCATTCAATATGAGGTTTCCCTTCAGATGCTTTGACCTATGCTTTTACTACATTAATTCCACTAATGATTTAATTGAGTAGGCCTACCCTACATTATAAGGTTGTATTTTTATGTTTACTTTATTAATCAGTTTATGGCTTGGATCTTCAGTGGTATGCAAAGAGAGTGTTTATGGAAATACTAGGAATGCAGCAGAAGGAATTTAGAGTTTGAACTCAAAATCTGATAGTTAACTCACAGGAGACTGGGCCTTTTGCGGGTCTACGTGCGCCAAAGACCGGCGTTTTTGGGGGTATCAATAATTCAAACAACACCCTTCCTAAAGACATGCAGCCTCCATTTTTACGCACATAACAGATCTATACATGCCCAATATGACACAAAAAACAGAAAGGCAATATCTTTTATAGTTTTTTAGAAATTATTTTTTGAAAATGTGCTAAAATTTGTTGCTCGCCAAAATTTATTGATGTAATGTCGTATAAATGTTTTTCAAAAGCAACAAAACCCCCCAAAATTAATCTTGTGTTTGTCTTTTATTGTGTTTTGTGTTTCAAAATGAATAAAAAGTCCAAACTCATGAATAGGCAAGGTAATCAATATGCGTAATCCTTATATAATGTGAAAAAAGCAGGGCTCCAGACGAAGCGGAGTGCATTTGAAAGCCTAGTCTAGATCTAGAACATTCACTGTCAGAATCAGTGCTTTGATGCTCATTTACATTGAAATAAGGATCCCCATGGTCTAAAATATCATAATCAGAATTTTCTGAACTGTCAAAGTCGTGCAAACACTTGAAAAACGTTTGCTTTTTTTGCTGCCAAGTGGGCGGTTGGCGGGTACTCTGGTGTGGTTTGCTCCTTCTTTCCTATCAAAGATCTATCGTCCTGATCTCTCCTCGTTCTTTTTTTGTGTTTGTTACTCTCTTGTGACACCTTATCTTCGACCTTATTGTGTTGCATGTGCCGTAAAAAACTTACTTAAACTAAATGTGCTGCCATCGTACTGCCAAAGTCTTGCAAGAACAGACACCAGTCTGAGAAATGAAAGTAGGGCCTCAGTGTGACTAACTTTCCTTCCGGGTTGACAACTCAAAAATTTCCAGCCAATTGTGGTGAAACTTTGCATGAAACGAAACAAAGGTCGGCTGCCTGGTAAGAGATGGTTCGCGCAGCGTTTGCGCGCATACTTTGCCGAGGACAAAACACGAAACTTGTTCATGAACCGCCTCTCAGAAAAATATTGGTGCCCTCAAATGCTGTGTGAATCATCTCCGGTGAGTCAAATAAAAAAGTAATCAGCTATACTGCACTTAAACAGCTTCAAAAAAAGTTTCTTAACTTACTCTATCCTTGGAGTTTTTCCCGAAATTGTACCTAGAAACCGGGCATTTTGGCACTTACGTAAGGGCCCACTAGTAACCACAAATATAATCCAATTGCTTTGAAATTTTGCACAAAGTACAACCTAAGATGGATCTATGGATGTACCGAATTTGAAGTATGTTGCCTGAGTAGTTTTGCTTTGAGGTGTTGTACAAAAATTTTGGCATTTTTGGTGGATTATTTTTTTTCATGACCAAATGAGCAAGAGTAAGCCTACATGGATATTGAGATAATATGCTTGCGAGTGTCTAGATCTATAAATTGTGTGTCATGTATAATAAAGACTGTTGACTACTTTCATGAATAAAAGAAATGTATGTGTGAGAAAGGGAGAGAGAATCGATTGCGAGACATGCTCAGCTGATCAGTGTGAACAAATGTGCTGAAAGTGCCTTTATAAAAAGCGCAATTTCTCTGTGTGTAATAACAGTAAAAACAAAATTCCAGCACCCCTGTGGGCAGAGTTGGCCTGGCAAATAATAAACTGACCATATATAAAACTTGATGCCGTTTTCCGAAACGAAATAACTAGTATACGGAACAAAACTATAGAACCGAGTTATCTCGGTTGTGAGATTGGACGCAGCCCACGAGCTGACCCACATATCTCGGTCACAGGATTGAGTGAGTTAAACATTGTCTGACCCCAATATATATATAATTACACTAGATCCCAAAAACCCCATATTGTGGCCTTAAGCAGAATATAGGACTGAAACTTCTAACTCTTGACCTAATTTGAGCAGTCATAGCTTGCATAAAATTTATAAGTCTAAAAAGGACAGATAATTTGACCGTGATGTACCTGTGTTGATGTTTTCAGCCAAACACAATATACTGGCGTATCTCGAGGACAGCATCACACAGCTGCTAGAGCACAGAGAGGAAAATCCCAAGGTCGTCCCTGCCAAGTTTCTGTGTGAATAGTGAGTGTCTCTTTTTATGTTAACAGATAATGTTTTTTCAAAGTCGAAGAGCTATACATTGTGTTATAACTTTAATTGGTTGAAAATTTGTTTAAGTTTATGAAGAAGGTAGGTCTACTAAATTGTCACTTCTGACTTCTGTCATTAAGTCACTATTGTCGTACACCAAATTTTTAAAGACCATCTTAATTATTGACTCTAAGGTATGTCCCACAAGTGTTACGTTCATTTTTGTGATGAGGATTTGATGCAGACGAGATTTTTACTTTTTTCTTGTATTGTTAAAGTTTCTGCAGTCTTCGAGATGGCAACCACACGATGTTCCGAGAGTTTAGCTTCATCCGGAGTACACCTCATAACCGAGCATCCTTTGTGGTGTTGTTCTGGAAATGTTTCCGGCAGATTGGGAAGAAAGGAGGTGAGTTCTAGAAAGATCGTCATGTGGTACCTTAGTTCAGAATGTAATATTTAAGGTCTATTATATCCATAATATTGTATGTCTTACTAGTGAAAATATATGTATCAATATAAAAAATAAAACTGCAGTTTAGAGCTCTTTTCAGGCAATGTGTCAGCAGCTTCAAATGTGTTTGTCTTGAGATTTTCTTGAAAACCTTTTGTTTCCTCTGCAATGTGCTCCTCATCCATTCACCAAATGCCCAGCAACCCACTTAGGTTTATACAAAGTATACAAATAAACATATTAATTAGCAACGTAAATAATATTTCCTTTTTTCTTTCCTTTACAAGAATTGTTCTTTGGATTAACCATATTATGTGAGGCATCGTAGTGAAATCAGGCGCTCATCAAAATAATGAAATCCGAGAAATCGGCATTCTTCGGTCAGTTTAGAATTTTTTTTCGAATTTTTATTTTTTATCTCAACCCCTTGTATGTCCATTCAAAAACGCTTTTATCTGTGGGTTTAATGTAAAAAACGTTGATTAAAAGCACAACCAATTTAAATTTGTAGTTTCCGTGGACTCTTGAGCTATGGAAGTCACCAGACTTTGCTCACTAATTTTACCTCTGAAACCAGGCGACCCCACCTCCTTCAATTGCAAATATATCTCAACTGCTATTCAAGATAAATGGATTTTTTTTCATCAAAAGCAAGGCAAATGAACAACCTGTAAGATGATAGCCTACCAATAACTCCATATGCCCCAAAATTGACGAGCGCCTGATTCCACTGCGTCGTGACACAAATGTTTCTGTTGGTCTTCGCACTGATCAGTGTGTTACTGTCACCCTCGTACAAAGTCATCTATTGTCAGCCTCCAGCCTAGTACCGTGACACCTCAGAGAAACTTTGTCCTCACATCCTTGTATCACTATATCCTGACCTCTGCTTGTTGACTTGCCTTTCAGATTTGCTGAGCATCCAAGAGTATCACTCTCTGCTTGGTCTTCTGTGCCCGGATTTCCCATTTCAACTTGTCCAGAAGACAGCCAGGTACGTAGAACCACCTTTCTGAAGTTCTTGAGCTCTGAATAAATCAATAAGAATAGTCCAGGAAAATTGATACCTACTGAGGAAATGTTATGGAAGTTCAAGAATTGGGAGTGACACACTAACAGCAGGCTAGCTATGACATGCTTTGTGAAATTGTTAAAGATAGATCACATTCAAAGGTGTGATGTTATATCATTAGGTGACTTTTTGTAAATTTTTTTGCACGCATACCTTTAAAATTCAAAACTACTCCCAGAGATGAAAGGCGAAAAGTTTCTCTTTTTCTTTTTCTTTTCTTTGTTGTTAACATTTGGAGTGGGAAAGTAAGGTCGTTACATATCATACAAAATTGAGATGAAGCTGAACAGACAGTTTTGGCAGTATTGAAAATAGTCTATTTTATGCATCTGACATCCCAAAAAAATGATGTAATCAGTTTTGTTGATGATGACCTTGTATAGCTTCAAGCAATAATGCCAATGCCACTTTATATATGTGAGGCGGGCAGACAAAATGAGTTACTTATCGCAATCCAAGAATGTGAATATTGACAGAAAATCGACACTGGGGTCAGATTTATAGATTTTCAATTGATGCCATTTTGTTCAAGTCTACCTTGTCTTTTAGTATTTTATACTTACTAATTGTACAAACTTCACTTGTAAAGTTGATGTATCAATTTCCATAGAGCTAAAATCCAAGAAGTAACTCATTTTGTCAGTACACCTCACATATATATGTATCATGGTATTGTCCTTTGCTGGCTTATTTGCAGTCCCTATTTTTGTGTAAACCGATTAGTTATGGAGGATTTTATGATATGTGGGGCATCATAGTTGAATCAGGGGCTCGTCAAAATAATAAAATAGAAGAAACAGGAATTTTTCCACCAGTTTGGCAATTTTGATCAAATTTCTGTTTTTTTTGGCTCAACACTTTTATGTCCATACCAAAACACATTTTTATGTTGATTAGAAGCACAAAATATGTAATTTTTAAATTTTGAGGCACTCACAAGCCAGTGAAGTTGCAAAAATTTGGTGGACGTTTTCTCGCTAATTCTATCACTTAAAATAGACGGCCCGCTCCTCCTGCAATCGCAAATATCTCGACTTCTATTCAAGATAGATGGGTATTTTTTTTCCATTGAAATCAAGGCAAATGAATAAGATTTCAGAAGATACCAATAAATCTACATTCCTAAAAATTGACGAGCGCCTGATTCCACCCCGTCGTAACACACATATATTGCTTTATATTTCAGAATTGTGCTCATTGATGACGCCCTAGACTGCCTCATCTCCTTCCCCGACTTCATCTACGCCTTCCAAGTCCAGTTCTTTTACGAAGGTACTTCAGTGAACATTATGTGGGGCAGAGTACTGAACAGAATGTGACTTGGGGCTCCTGTGTTTAACGAGCTCGGGTGCATCATAATGTCTTCTCTGTGCAGAAGAATTAGAGCCAGATGATTAGTGGAACTAACATGTAATGTCTAGCAGGAAAATAGGAATGGTAAATTTTGCCAGCTTCTGTGGCATCCATGGTACGATACTCAACTAAAAAAGTATGCATTTTCTCAGTGAAGGGGTTCAGACCTTGATTCCCTAGAACTTCTGGAAAGGATGTTTATCCTCATTGTTTGATTGTTTGCAATTTGTAATGATCACAAATGCCACAACTCATTGCAGATTGCAATGCCTTTCCCTTTCCTTAAGGGGTGTATTTATCTGTCTAAACATATGGTTAATTGGTCAAACCTTCTTATGGCTTTGCTGTGTTCTGTATAACTGTTACATCTCCCTATTATAGTTCTATTTTTTCTGCTCTGTGCAGAGTTCTTGGAGAAAAGTGTGGAGATCTACCGCGGCCTCCTCCAGACAATGCAGAGTCCCCGGGACCCTGTCATCGTGCCGACGTCCGGGGAAAGAGACGCCAAAGTCCATCAGAGCCCTCACATAGCGGCAGACGGCGTCGACGCGATGCAGTTCTTCCGATCCATTTACCCCCTGCTGGACAGAGTTGACTACAGGTATGATCACAGGACACGTCTAAGTCTGCACAAAGTTTCTGAAGACATTTCAATGTTTTGCCCTCAAAGGCACAATAAGAATTTGTTCGTAGTTTCTTGTTTTGTCTTTGTGTTCTTACTTTTGTAGTTTTGATCTACCCAGTACCCCAATGTTCAACTCACTAAAGTAGTTCCTCTTTGCTCTGTGCTTTGTTGTTGTTGTTGTTGTATGTGTGTGTGTTTGTGTGTGTGTGTGTGTGTGTGTGTGTGTG